GAGAGAGACTAACAGGTACACAGACACACACAGAGACACGGTTTCATACGCAGACTCATAACAAAATCCTGGCTGCTTTGTTTTCTAACTTCCGTTTACCCTTGTCTCTTACCTTGGGACACCCTGAGGGAGCCTTCTCTTTCCTCATGACCAAATGAGTCTTGAAAATACTGGTGAAATTTGATGAACTTTGGTTGAATATTTGGGTGCTAGGATCAGTTGTACTGCACCAATCAAAAGGAATTAATGAAAAGTCAGCTGATGGTTTTGTTGCCCTCTGGCTACCATTTCCCAGGCATCAAGATTGCTTTCAAATGCTTTAACATGAGAATCTTGTTCAAAACTACCATAAACTGATTTCTCCTTTGTTACCAAATCCTTCAAATAACCAGATGCTATCGCTATCAGAACTCAAAGGCCTATGTTGTGCATTGTGTAGTCCTTTATTATTTTATTTTAATGAATGTTTTTTGGAACTGGTAGGTTGCTATACTGTATAATATAACAATTGGCTGTGATGCAGTTTTGTACCAAATTCAGGGTCTAGAAACCGCCAGACACTCATGTATCAGTGTCATACACAGCGTGCGAGATGTCATTCAGTTACTCGGCGTGGAACGCCACGTTCTGATGGTGGCTGAGTGTGGAAGTATCTTCTTGCATTAGAAGGAAAGAACTATGTCTGAGCGTGTTTACGTATATAAATATCTTACTATGCAGTTGTGTGACTGCTTCTCTGAGGAATATGGTTTGGCAATGGGTATGACAAGCTTTTACTTGGGCAAGTGTAGGATATCACTCATAAGTAAGTCAGGTCTCCCCAAACAAGTTGCTACATAAAATTTAAAGCATTCGCGTTCACTCCCATGTTTTTCTTAGGCGGTGTTTCTCTTCTTTTATTGGCTTGCCATGTGTTTGTTATTGTTGTTCTTTCCTTCTTTGGTGCTCCCTTCAGTTACCCTGGTAACAATAGATGACCCAGACTGGAGTGGAACATAATGCCATCTGTAAGTTAAGATAAATATCTTCTAGGAACATAGTGTATGTGGTCCACTGGGAGACAGGCATTCCTATGGGTTACTAGTGCCTATGCATTTGGTCTGTATTATCATCTCTATTTCTTCCTCCAGCCCTCCAACCAATCTCTCTCTCTCTCTCTCACACACACACACACATCCTAATATTAATTGAGTTGAGTTGGACAATGGGTTTTGTGTTTAGTCAATGAGAAGAAAAAAGCTCCTGGGGTAGAATAATTCCCATGGTAGTTTTTTTTCCTTGATAATTTTTAACTACGGTAAGTAGGCATACTGGATTTGGTGCTAGAGGCAGCCATCGTGCTGTGCTTAGATATTGCTTGACCCATTAGCACTGTGAGAGTGCCATGAAAGCGTCCATGACCTAGAGCCCGTCTTGCTTTAATAATGGCTTAACACTCATAAAAGATTTTTAATGGCTACATGAGGCATATTTAAATATTAAACGCCATTCCTCTTTGTTGATTCACAAACCCTGATGAATAGAAGTCTGTCGCTTCCAAAGTTGGAGAAATGTGCCTTGCTTCTCATGCTAGTAAGTGAACCAAACAAACCCAGAAACAGAAACACCTCAACTCTGCCCTGTAACCCGTTTGCAAACCTGAGGGCTGAGGGCCTCCGGCTCTTGTTGGCTGCCTTGAGTTCTCAGACTTGAAAACAAAATTTGAATGTGCTGGGTACCTGTTTCCAATCTTGTGCTAGGGGAATGAAGAAAATATGGACACATGCACATAATGAGACTTTTTCCTCTGAACTCAGCTTTTGGCTTTTATCTTCATTTAATTGCTTTGGTCTTTCATTCACAGCATCACTTTACTTAGAGGAGACTCCTGTTCTTATATTTACATTTGGACAGACCAATATTCACTAGTTCATGGTATATTTAGCTTTCAGTGAGGACCCAGTGCTGATACCAAGGCTATTTTCCCAAGGCTCCATGGTAGAGCATAGTAACATTCCATGAGAACGGATGCTGTGTGTTTAATTAGCTCTCCACCCGTCCTCAGCGCCTTATTGCTTAATTGTCTGAAAGTCCAGTGTGGAGACAAGGCCCCAAAGAACTGTATTTGCTTTCCTTTCTTTCCTTATGGTGTAGGTGTTAGGCTGATTTTAGAGATGCCTTTATTTACAGACAGGAAAATTGAGTCAGAGGGTGATTTCCTGTCACGAGTACAGCTGTCTGGAGGAAACAGGTATTCTCCAGGAGAGAGCCAGGAGATGTGATCCCAGAAGCACTTGGGGACTCGAAAGTTTTTGGAGTAGTTTTGAAATATCTGAGGTTCAGCAGAGCCCAAGTTACTTAGCTTGAAGCACCATTTCCGTTTCATTTTCTAGAACCATGTACATTGAGGGAAATTGAATCTGTTATTTGGGAATCGTTTCGCTCTCATTCATGAAAATACTGCATGGTAAATACTAGATCTGGGTTCAAGAAACCTCTTGAGCTCTTTGAGAAGTGGTTTATTGTTGTGGTTACTGTTATTGTTGTTTGCCCCTTTGAAACTGAGAGCACAAGTTTCCTCTGGATGAACCCAGCATAGGACAGAGTTTACTGCTCAAGTATCACAGCCACTGTGGGGAGACTGACATGGTCTAGCATAAAGCAGTGCTGCAGACAAGGCTTCCAGGAAGCGACACTCTCAGGAGCAAGCCTTGGACATTGAAGGGATTTTCCACGAAGGCCTCCAAGCACCCAGTTTGGTCTAGGCAGGATTTAATCTCTCTTGATGCAGCCACAGCCCGAAGTTAATTCCAACCCACAAGTCAGTCCTAGGTCCAGATGTTTCTGAACTTTATAATTCTGTCTTTGTTTAAAATTAATTTTTTGCTCATCATGAGGTTTTATGCATTAATTTTTATGGCAAAGCAGCGCATTGCAATCTTATTTATCTTGATTATTGAGGTTTGGGGCATCTTATGTTTTGTGCCTGAGCAAGTGTCTCAGTGACCTCACACCCTGTCCTCTTCGCTTCTGGGTGGGGCAGGCAGGCTGAGAACTTCTGTTCCAGTTCAACTGTGGCTTTTGGCTCAGCAGAGATTTCTTTCCCTGGGACTAGGTGGCCCATACCCAGTGTGTCTCCTCATGTGCCTTTTGTCCCATGTGCCTCAGAGTGAGTGCTGAGGCCGCAATTTGTGATTGCATTCTTGTCACAAAGTTGCACGTATGCTGCAGGATAAGACTCAAGATATTCATTCCTAAGACATAACTTTGTTCCATCAAAATGATTATTTTGTTTTAATCTCATACAGATTAGAAAGAAGAAACATTTCGTTTATTCTGTTGTCCATCCCAGTGGTACTAAGAGTAGATTCTAAACAAAAGGAAATGGAAAACGTGGCTTGAGATTACACAAGGGCTTGTCAAGCTTTAAATTCAAGGCCTTTATGATCACGGTCACAGCTTAATAATAGCTATTGCCAGCAACCACTGAAAAGTGCCGGATCCTACCTTGAACAGCGTCTTGAGTACATTGTGTCATTTAATCCTTACAACAACCTCAGGTAGGAACTATTAGAATGCCTATTTTACAGATTAGAACACAGGTTTAACGATGTCAATGTCTCCAAGATGGCTCAGCCAGGCAAGGGCGGAATGCAAAGCTTTCTAACTCAAAGCTCTGCTTCTTAGCCTCTGTTCTGTACACCTCCTGCCCCACAGTACACGCGTCAGGAGAAAATCAGTTTCCGTCTTGTATGGAGCATGCTGGCGACAGTATCTTCCGCATTAAGACCATGAGTGAATAAAACGCAATAATGCTTTCATTAAAACTTCAGCCTCTGTGTCTGTTCAGATTAGAATAAAAAAACTCCTTGGTATCTAAATCAAAGCACAGCCAGGTTCTTTTCCTTTCCAGTGTCCTGGGCTTCATAATGCTTTGCTTCTAGGGTTCAGAAGCCAAGTGCGTCAAGAGCAGCTGTCCCTGCTCTGGTTTCTGCGAGAGGAGATGGAGTAGGACAGATAGCAATTTACTGTAAATGTTTTGGGATGGGTTGATGGATAGGGAGTGCTAAAGCACTCACATTCATTTGGCAATGACAAGAACGCCTGTCTGCTATCCTTAAACCTTGGATCTAGACCTGCAGAGCATTCTTTGCTGGCTCCCGTTCTTATTGTGTTGTGTACTCTGTGAGGAATTCCTGGCAGATCTGCCCAGTCATTCTCCCCTGTGCAGGCTTTTCACCTGACCTCCGAAGCTCTCCCCAGACAGCTACTTCACCCAGTGCCCACGTCTGTGGAGCTGGGCTTTAGAGAAAGAACATGGTGCCATGAGCAAAGCCAAGTCCTGCCGTTGTGCGTACACCTGCCCTGGGGAAGTTCAAGCAAGGAAGCTCTTTAGGAGGAGCTCTTAGTTAAAGAGGCAGCTTGACAGGCTGGGACTGAAAGCTCTGGGGCCTGTGTCCAGGACTTGTTATATAAGAGAACTTCCAAGAGAGGATAGGACATAGTTTTCAACAAATAAATAAGGCAAAGAGGCTACGCTTGCGAGTGCCACAGCTGGGAAGCAACGATGAGCAATGAATTTCTCATGCTAACAAATCCAAGCTCTTCGGAAAACAGATGCTGAGCTCTGGGACTGGCACTGGATCAGAGATGGAAGGGTATCTAGAGACCATTTGTTCATAAACACAGCTGAGGGCCAGCAACCTGCTTTCCTGCCCTGCCTGGGCTGCACTGACGGCTCCCATCCATGCGGCATTTCCAGAAGGAAGGAAACAGACATGCAAGGCTTCTGCAGCCCACGCTCTAGAGAAATAATTAAACAGTTTTTCTTAACCTCTTGAACTTTTCATTTATTATTGCCATCCATTATGTCTACCTTCTCAAATCACAGAATCCCAAAACTGAGCTCCGGGGTCAAGGGTTTATTGTTTAATGGAGATAGAACATTTTGTAAATTGCACGAAGTCACAATGTTTATAATAGAAGCTTCTGGTGTACTGACTCTCTTCCATTTAACAAACAGGGAGCTTTGACATGTGTTCTTCCTACAGAGCAAGAAATCTGGGGTAAGTGCAGTACTGGCATGAATGCGTTACCAAATCCTTCCTGTAAACCAAGTGACATCTGCAGTCAAATGAAAACATTCCTTCCCCCAAATACCAGGAAATGCTAAAAGTATCACTATTCTTCTAAGGTCATGCTAAAATGAAGTTTTGGCTTTTAGAACACAGGGAAAGGATGAAGAAGGCCAACATTTTTGTCCAATACACATTTGCTGCTACAAGTCCTTGGGGGAAAACCTCTTGTTTCAAATGTGAACATGTGTACGGAGAATTTTTCCCTTGGATTTAACCTTTGAATGAGAAGTGTAAATATTTTAAGAAAACGTACTGATGTTAAAAAATATTCCTGATGCCTTTGTTTTTACTAGAATTTATACTTTCAAGTCAGAGGTGGATTTGCTTGAAATAAAGCAAACAACCTCAAGACGTACTCAGCCAAAATAACCAATGTATAAATACCTAAGATGAACAAAATATGAATATTCCTCAGTTAAAGTAACCAAGGATTTTAAGTCCTTGGGACATGATAAGAAAGAATGTCTTAAACCTAAATTTTAACTCTTTATGTTGGAGATGTCATCAGTATTTTTAAAGGAAATAAATGTTCATGCAACATTTTCTTATATATCTTTTTGAGACTTTAAGTGAAAGCGACATGCATTCTTTTTTTTAACTACATACATTTTTTATGACTATAAGTCTAGCTAATGAAGACCACTGTAAAAGACAACCTTTTCATCACTAATTAGCATAACTATTTTCTTGAGTCTTAATAATTGGTTAATAGTACAGGATGTACGTTTGACTCGAATTTATGAAATAAAAGCACGTACAGTGTTTACATTTTATATTAGTAGTGATTCAGGCAGGTTTCCCTGGGAAGATGCCCCCTCGCAAGCTGCTCATTCTATCTTTTTCATTGTCTAAGTTTCTAAAAGAATTTTATAGCATTTAATATCTGTTCCAGTGTGCTCATTTGCTTGCCATGGGTCCCAGTGCTGGGACTCAGTCTGGTCATTTCTGATTAGCCAGCAGGTGTCACTGTGGGTTTGGGTGCTAACCCAATTGACCATAGAAAAGAATGACTGATGAGGGGGAATAAGAGGGGAAAAAAGGGGAAAATAAAAGCAGGTTCTTAGAGAAAGAGAACAAACTAATTAAAAATATCTTGTTTTCATTCCTCTTTGTTATAGGACCTCAGAATTTTATAGCCCTTTCCCAGCTCCTGTAGACCCAGAAATGAACTCACACAAGATCTACTGATGCTGTCTTAGGAATAGAAGGTAACTTCACTGTATAAAATAGCAGAAGACATCAGGAAAGCTGAGGAGTGTATTCTCGTATCCTGTTCCTAATTTCTGAGGCCCCACCCCTGCGCTTCATAGCTATTCATCTGCTTGAACCCTGGGCACATTTGCTTCACCTCAGAAATATACAGTGTTTCCAGTTATTGGTAGGTCATAAACTCATGGCCCACAAAATGATTTGGCTATCCCTAACCTCGGTGATTAAATAAATTCTATTTCAATTTTTGAATAGGCATCTTGACCTGGAAATTTTTTCCTTCTATCTCCCAAAGATCTGTATCACTCTTCTTCAACAAAACTATCCTAGGGGCTGGGGATTTAGCTCAGCGGCAAAAGCGCCTGCCTGGCAAGTGCAAGGTCGTGAGTTCGGTTCCCGGTACCGGAGAAAAACCCAAAAAAAAAAAACAAAAAAAAAACAAAACTATCCTATTTTATATATATATATTTTTTTCCAAGTGCATGGAATTTCCTAATAAATAAAATTTTCAATTGGTAAAATTAACATGTTTCTTGAACAACTGTCAACTTTAAGAATACATGACCATAAAAACTCCCTGCACATAGAAGAATTCACAGCTGGTCTAATTTGAATAACAGGTTGTAAATTGATTTCTTTTTTTTTTTTTGGTTTAACATGTGAAAACAATGTCCATATTGTTGGTGTGGAGAGCAGGCAATTTGTTAAGAAAAGATACGTGGCTTGACTTTTCCAAATAAGTCTTAACACTTGTTTAAAACCTAATTTAGTCAAGTTGTGAAAAAACAAAGCAGAGAAGGGTTGCAAAGATACATAGAAATGCTTCTACATTCTGGAGAGCTTTTGTGCCCCTGGGACCATCCAGAGTCTACTCTTGCCACCTGCCACACACCAAGGACCAGCAGTTCATTTTGAGGTCGTAGCTCCTCGTTGCTGGAGTCTGAACCCAAGAGGGTGAAAAGCAGAAACACTTTCAGCTTGTGAACATCCTGCAGTTTCTGATTTTAATTCTCTCACCTTTATGCACATTAAATTCCCCAATAATACAATAGTGCTGATTCGAATTTAAAAATGCTGATTCTAATTAAAAAGATAAAAGTAAAGTTCAGAAGAAAGAAATGGTTTAAATATTCAGGTTCCCAAAGAGTTAGAAAATTGAACTACAAATTACGAATACTTAGTTACAAACTGGATTAAGTCATCTCTTCAAAAAGATAAGTAACTCCAGTGGGCTGATTTGACTCTCTGGGAGATACAGTAGTCCAGTGGTTGGCTTGTGACTCTTACTAAAAGTTCTTTGGGAAATCCATGCATTTATATCACATAGATCCCTTTCTCAGTTCTTAAAAGCTGTTTCATTTATGCATAAGAGTTCGTCATTAATGTAACATCATTTTCTCTGGTGCTTGGAGATTAAGACTCACTTTTGCTTGGGCTTTCTGGCAGAACATGTAGGAATCATAGCAACAGGCGCCATAAGCACAAGCAGCTGAAGGGTGTGGGGTGGGGTAAGCAGAGAAAGAAGGAAGAAGGACATGTTAAGGTATAAAAATATTTATCCAGGGTAACGGAACATCAACAACATTTTCTTTTCAGTTAGACGTATACATCTGTGAGGAATGGAATCTTTGGCCATTGGTTTATCCTTTGGAATAACCATTTCCATGACAACTTCTTAGACTGTTAAAAATAACAGTACTCACAATTTCCTCTGAGCCACTATGCCCTTTGTGTACGGTGGCTGCTATTTGGCCCCGACCACATACGTCTGGGTGATTGGTTTATGTATAAGTTTGTGTGTGCACATACTCTGTATCTTCCCAATTGGAATCTAATGTCTCTGGGTCAAGAGTGGCATGTTATATCTCTCTTATGAATCAAAACTCTTGTCTTAGTGCAAAGCATTGGTGGGAGTTCAACGAATCTTTGTTGAATGAATGAAAATTACAAAGGATACTTTTGTTTGGCAAGCATTGGTAATGCTAGATTACTTTTATGTAGTTCATATAAATAATTCACTTCTTGTGGTTCCATATCCTGATGTGAAAATTATGCATTTACTATGTTTTCATAGATATTAATGGGGGCTTTTAAAAAGAGAAATTGTTTCTAAGTTGGTGGTCTTAGGCCTAGTATTGAATGAAAAAGACTTGAAGTAAATTTTAATTGTGGAAAGAATAAAACTGAATGCATTGGTTTGTCAAAACTTAGTAGTTTATGTGTGTGCATCATTTTTTTCCCTACTATTTCATGAAGAACAACAAAAGACGCTAATTTTCTTTAATTTCATCATTCAACATATAGAAGAAAATAGAGTGGAGTATAAGGGTTAGAGGCGGCTAATCTGTCATTGAGATATTTTCCTTCCTTAACATCAACACTGTTTTTGTTTAAAAAGTGCAGTTTAAAAATGAAACTATAACTATGATGATCTAATTAGAAAATTTAAAGAAGAAATATTATATTTATGCTTTGGTACATCAGGTTTAGTTATTATGAGCCAGATGGTATTATGTTTCTGTTGGGAAAACATTTTTAGAAGCTATTTAAAGAATTATAGAATGAAGCAAATCAAATCATTACTTACACTATTTTTTTAGGAGGGGAGGGCAGTGGAAGGAAAATGTGCAGAAAAGACTAATGTTTATGTATAATGATTTCATTATCATATTTCTACTCTCTTTGTCATCCAGGGTAAACTCTAAGGACATGTCATGAATTCCTGAGCCTCAATAAATCTGTGAGTGTCAGACGCCGTGTGTGGGTAAAATGGATAATATTCTGACCTTTAGTAAGCTTTCACTAGAGCAAAGGAAGTCCCTCAACATAACGCTTCCCCACTACAAAATACTGGCAGGAAGCCAAAATATGCCCTTTGGCAAACCTCCAGTCTGGATGGCTTTCCTGCAGCTAGAAGACATTCATGAATCTGCTCAGCACTGCGATTTTTTCCCCCTCCTTTGGACAGTCTCATGGAAAGACCTTTCCAGTGTGTAACCTGCTGAGGGAGACGTGAGAACACATTAATCATGAGTTTCTTCAAAAGAAACTTGGGATTGTCCTGCCCTAATTTAACAGGTCCCTCTCCCTGTGCAGTGTGAGCTGCAAGACTGTCACAAAAATGCTGGTAGATAAGTTAGTGATGGGTCCAGCTGAAAACTGAGGTTATGGTAAGAACAAAATTAGTAGGTTCTGATCCTCAGGCGTGAGGTTTGACCGTGGTTAGATTTGCTTCTGAAGAGTAAAACTGATAGCTCTGAAAATACATGAGTAACTGTTTTTTCTTGTTTAGTAAACTTCATATGAAAGTTGAAAGTATTCCTCTCACTGTTTGTGATTAACTGTGTTTTCTTCTTAAATCATTCTATGCTAGAACTATCCTGGAGAAGTAACATGTGGTTAGTCTTCTACTCACCAATCTTGGAAGTGAAATGCATTTCCTTTCCACTGTTGTGTCATCATCTCTTCTGTCAAGTACGTAGACACTTTTGGAGCATAGTAGAAATTTGGTCACTGGGATCCAACCAACTTCTTTGAAATTTTTCCTTTCTCATATGGATATTCATAATGGGACCTTTCCCTTTTAACACACACACACACACACACACACACACACACACACACACACACACTCCCATTTAGAGATTTCTCAGAAATGCTTAGGTAATACTTCATCCTTTTCATGGGGTGTGGGCATTTCACTATCACCTTGATGTTTAAGCATTTAACTGGCTTTTCACACATGTTTATGGATAATTTTTGTCTTTTAGAAATGGCAGAATCAAATGAAAAATATTGAGGTCCTCCAATGAATTACGGGCCTGGAATAGACTTAGTTTTGGAGAGAATGAATAAAATGAAGTATTCAAGAATATGATAGTATTTTTCTTTTAATACTAAGGTGTCTGGGTAGTTGAAATTTGCTACAACATTTCTAGAAGCTGAGCATAAACCTGTATTTTGGTATGACGGCCACCTTTCCACAAATGTACCCTACCAGCCAGCTAATTCGTACAATTAACTACTCTGCCCAATGTATTTTTCTCAGCTTTGAATTTGCTAAATTTATCTGAGCCCAGTTCACCCCTTGGACCACAGATAATTGCATCTCCTCCCAAAAGCCTTTTGCCTCACCCCAGGTCTAGGAGAGTCTCAATGTCCCAATTCTTGGAGTACCTTGGGTGATTCCAACAGTAATGACACATTTTGCCTTGGACCAGAATTATTTGTTCATGTGATATCCAACCAGAAGCCAAGTTTCTTGACACTAAAGACTATTTCTCTTTTAGATCTCTAACCCCATGGTGTTTAGTACAGTTTGCTCAGCCAAAATTTATTGAGATTAAGATTCAAAATCATTTGGAAGATTGGTCATGGAATTATCAGAGTTCATTTTTAAACACAAGCAGTCCTGTAGAGAATGAGTTATAGTCTTGTTTTTTACCTTTTAATTGCTAACTTTTCATTTTATTATTCATGTTTCAGTAGGTATTTGATTGACTTTTAAGGGGGTAGCACCCTAACTAGGGCAAAGTAGATGTAAGTAGAGGAAGACTACAATTAAAACTAATATGATGAAACAAACTCTAAATAACATGAATATTGATAATAACACCAAAAACGAAGTGAGGCAGATTCCATGCCTGGAGACTGCGCTCTGACTTTTGTTAATTGCTTGTGGCTTTTCTTTGTGATCTGGTGACACTGGCACTCCCTTCTCCTGCCTCCCCACTGTGGCAGATGCTGGGCTTAATTTCCCAGATCTCTCTTGAGGAATAAAGGACTTACCCTGGCTGCTGGGAGGGTTGTCAGACTTCTTTCCAGAATGGGCCCCATTCAATTTTTAGTGTTGGGATATAAAAGCCTTATGTATTTTCTTGCCTGATTCAGGAAAAGTCTTAAGGATTGATACACGGTCAGAACTCACTGCAGGCTTCTCAGGTTCTAACGGGACTGTGGTGCAGCTCGGCTTCCTCCTGGACCGAATCCTGTGCCCTGTTCTCCTCTTCCCTTCCACAGTGGGTTCCCCTCAGTGGTACCCCCAGGAGCCTCCTGCATGCTCTTCTCCATCTGAGGGCGCCCGCCTTGGCTTCTCCCTGCACTTTCTCAGGGATCATCATTCTACCAGATTAAACCACGCTGAATTCCCACCAGCCAGGCAAGATGCAACTTCCTCCAAACTCACAGATGGGGCCCTGCCACATGTCCTACCTTAGGAAGGCATGGCCGGAGTGTCCAAGCAGGAACTAGAAACAGACCACGAGCAAGCAAGGAAGTGTCAAGTGATGTCAATCATAAAAGGACAGCTTGGGATCAAATAGGCAAAGTAGGTTAGAATAAGAGGTGGGTGCTACCAATAACAGAGAAAAATACGGCAACATTAGTGGTAAACAGTATGGTCTTACAGAAGTGAAGGACTCACTTGATAGGAAAATGATGCTGAAGGTGGCTGTATCTCTTTGTCACGCTGGGAAAGAATTTGGGGCATTAACCAGGGTTAATTCATTATATGAGAAATGATTGGCAGGAGCGGCACCCTGTGCCAGGAAGGTATAAAACCAGAAGCCCCTCGTGGAGATTTGCTTAGAAGGCCGAAGTATGAACCCCTTTCAGAACATCTAACTTTTTCAGTGACAAGGTTAACTGTAGTATGAACTGTAAGTCAGGCTGAGGCATGTCAAATTGCATATTCGACCTATACAAGTGATAAATTCAAATAGTTCAGACTAATATGTTAATTTAATCTGTCTTCCCCCATTGCAATGCAGATTTTATCTTGTTCACATTGCTGTACCTCAGTATCTAGAACAGTGTCTAACAAAGCACTGTAGACAATCAGTAAAGGTTTTAGATGAATTACTTAAGAAACAAACTTATTCCTCAAATGTTTGGGGCCATTGTTTATTCTATTACTTAGGATTCTTTTAATTATGAATAACAGAATTCCCTTTTCTATTAGGTAAGCAAAGAGGGGAATTCATTGACTTACCCAGTGGGAAATTCCAAAAGTATATAGTTTCAGGTATAGCAATTTCCAGGAGCTTGAATAACATCATAATGATTGGATCTCTTGCCATCATTCAACTTAGTCTTTCTGTATTGATATTGTTCTCAGGTGTGTTTTCTCAATTCTATGATTCCTAGCATCTCCAGGCTTAGAGTCATTAGCTTAGCAAATTTCAGGGAAAATCAAAGTATGTTTTTTCTAATAGTTCAAATCAGAACTGTTTCACTTTGAATCTCACAGAATTGACTTTACTATGTCTGAAAAGCCAAGCGGGGGTCAGGTCCACCTCAGTCAGTTGGGCTGAGAATGAGGGAGCTGTTGATTTCTTCCTTGGTGCTAAAGTAATTACAATAATAGATGAAACTCATTAACCACTTATCACCAGCCACCATTCTGAAGGCAACTCTATAAGCAAAGCACTATTATTATCTCTATTTTATTATTTTTCTTGTTTTATTAGTACATGGTTATAGTACATAATGAATACATTCATTGTGAGAAGTTGGTACATGTACATATCCCATCCTAGTCCTTTTTATTTATTATCTCTATTTTATACTCAAACTGAAGTAGAGAGGTGAAGTAACTGACTCAGATGCACATAACTTGGAAGTTAGAGCCACGATTGAAATCAGAACAACTGATGTGAGAACAATATGCAGTACAAGAACCATTGTTGAACTCCTACCATCTTGTATGGTGAAGCTCTGCATCATTTCCAATGTTGTTTTCTTTTATTACTTGCTACTGTCTTTGATTGTTTGATCAATCTTACATTCTTTTTTTTTTTTTTTTCTAGTGGACTGAGCAACTTCTTTGGAGATAACAGTATGTAATGTAGCAACCACTGTAAATTCCTATCATTCTGTTTTGGAGGTCATGTATCATTGTTGTTGTTTTTCTGTTGTTTTGATTTTGTCTTCATTGTTATTTTGTCAGGTTTTAAATTTTAAAATTAAAAAAAGAAACATAGGCAATCCTGACTCAAACATATAAAGTTACAGCCAATTCCTATAGCCATCACACTCTACTACTTGTAAAGGAGCACAGAAAGAGTGGAAAATATAGATGCCAGCTCTATTTAGCTTATTCACATATAGGTCCAGTGACCTGGTAGCTCTGTTACAATGGCATAGTTACTGGTTCACTTGTGTTTAGAACATTGGCAAGGAGAGTTTTCTAAGACTCTGTCCCAGAAGTTCTTTTCTGGTTTCTAAGAAAATAATTTCCAGGAGCTGCCTCTGGCCTAGCTCTATTTGACCTGATAGCTCTCATGTTTGCCATGTGTAAGTGACCTATCTCAATTAGCTCAAAGTCTTAAGGCTCTTATGGGTGTTCCCAGAATATGAATGAGTTCCATGTTACATGGGTAAGTTCTTCTCATCCTGGTAGCTGTGGCAGAGGCCGGGTCATGTGATACCTAGGACTGCTCCTTCAGGCTTGTGGGTAGAAAGTAATATCAAGGGAGGTTGTATGTGGGCAGGGGTGTGGGTGAGAGGAGGGGTATGGAAATAACTATGTCTGCCACATTATCCAAAACTGTCCTTCTCATAGAACAAAGTAATTTCTTGACTGGAATACCCACAGGGAAAACACAAAGAAGCTGGTTTTCACGGTGATGATCTGTAGGTCACCGTTAATCCTAAGTGATTCTAAATTCTCATACTGACTATTTCACATTCTTGGTGATTACTGCAAACACCATGTCCCCTCTGTGGCATCAGCACTATGTGGGA